CCCCAAAACCCCAAAACCCCAAAACCCCAAAACCCCAAAGGAACGGGTCTATATTGAGGTTCTAGTAATTAATATAGCTCCTTGTTTCAGCATTTGTAGCATCCAGTTCAGTCTGCAGAAGTTCATTTTTGAGGCTCTCAATCTGTCTATTAGCATAAGCAAGATCTCGAGAGAGCCCTCTCGTATTTTCAGCTTCTGTTTTGAACTTATCTATAGATGCTTTACATACAGAAATTACCTTCTAAGCTTTGCATCTTCTGTTCAAATGCTGATTGTGTCGCTAAATATGCTTTTTCTTTTGCTCTCATAATTGCTAACTCTTTTTCTAAGCTTTCAAGGTGCTCATCCCTTTGACTCTGGTAATCCCGATCTGAATCAATACTTGCTTTACTGTAAATATTCGAAACTCTGGATAAACATCTGTCTATTTCCTCTAATTGAGGAATTTCACCCATTTTTGGTGTTTGGACTTTAAGCAGCTGATTCTCAAATTTGACTAATTTACGCTTCAGCATCTCGTTCTCATTTCTTAGTTCAATTTCTTCGTCTAATTGATGATACTGAAGTCTTACCTTTAGGTTTTTGCAACATGAGGATGGACTTATTCAGCTTATGGTTCTGTTCCTTCAGAATAGATATATTCTTGCCCTCCCTGATAAGCTTCTTCTCCTGCATATAGATAGCCTCTAGCCTTAGCTTGTCTGCTTTCTCAAGCTCTTTGAGCTTAATCTGTTTCTCCTTGTTCTCAAGAATAAGATCATTAACTCTTTTCTTGAGCTTTGATTTCTCTTCAAGATCTGTTTTGAGTCATCTACGAAGACTTTCTTGTTCCCTGAAATGTCTAGAGGATTTTGAACGATAGTAGATAGCCTTGAGGATGCTGAAAATATCCTTTTTCATCTGCTTGCTTCTTCTTATTTCAAATGACTGCATCTTGAGAATGCGGCCTTCTTGCTTTCTAAAATTTCAGCATTGAGTCTTCCATTGGACAAAATAAATCTTCTTTTGGAGTCTTCTCTTCCTGTAAGCCTTAAGATACTGTATAAAATATTTTCTCTGAATTGCCAAATCATGCTTTGCTGCTCATTGAGTCTCTAAAGCTTTTAATCTTTGCTTGTTTTCAATAGCTTTTTGCCAGAGTTTGAAAAATCTGTTGGTTCTGAAGAACTTTTCCTTCTCAAAAAGACCTTCCATCTGCACCTTGTGGTCTCTAGCTCAGTTTCTTTGCCAGAGTAGAGCACTAAACGCCATTATCTTGAGATTTTCTTGATACTTTGATTTGATGACTTCTTCTCATTCTTTAAGATAATCTTTGTATATTTTTCTAGAATTATAAATCCCCTTGACCAGCATTTGAAGTCTCTTCTTTGTATAAAAACTATCTGCTTTGAGATCATTGAGTCGCTCAATTTTCTGTTGGTTTATCACAACATAAAATTTTAGGAAGATACTCTGCATAAACTTAAAGCGATGGAGTTTGCCAGCTTTCTCCATTTGTTGGTCTTCAACTTCATGGGGGACATAATTTTTATCATAGAAATCTCTGATGGCATAAAGTCCTCTACGCTTGCAAAGGAATTCATAGAATCTTCCAGCTTTAGCCCAATTGTATCTCTCTTCTCTAGTGATGCTAGAGAAATACTTGAATAAATCAAAATATTTTTGCTTTAGAGTAAAATCTTGTATTGCTTTGATCCTTCTGAGTTCTTTTTGAATTGGCGCATTTCTTTGTATCTGCCTGAAAGATATTATTTTCAACCTTCTTTCATGGTTCTGAGTAATTATATCTCCAATGCCTTTCCTCTGATTTTGTTTATAAACAAGTTCAGCTAGACCGAATGCCCATTTGAATCTGATATAAAAGTTTTGTCTAGTGATTTGAGTAAGAGTTTGTTGAAATTGCTTATCTGATATTGCGATTTGAGCATCTTTCTCTTTCACTAACCTGATCCCTTTACCAAGCCACGTCATTCACTTCTTCAACGACCTCTTACACCTCTCAAACTCACTACTCTTCTCCTTCAACGCGCTCACACTCTCCTCCAAATTTTCCTTCAGCTGCTGTATTTGGTCGAGAAAGTAGTTTTGTTGGAAGAAGAGGGGATCTTGGGGAGGAGGCTGGTTGAGGTTGAGAAGGAGGTTGATGTCTGAAGTAGGGGATGGAGGGTCGGAGAGGAGCGAGTGTGTTATGAAGTTGTTATGTCTGTTCTGTGAAGCTGCTTTCTGAGAGTTCTTATAAATCCTTCCATGGGTCTGAGATTTTGGTGGAGAATCAGAAGAAAATGATGAATTTAGAGACTTTCTGAAGGTAATTCTCTGGGTCTTATTAGCAATTTTTTGGTCCTCCCATTTAACGCTTTTGCTATTTTTGGAACTGGGAGATGGAGTCCTCGAAGGGTAGATCGTGAGATTTGCTAAGAATGTTGTTTGTCTTCTGAAGCACCTTAGTTACAGGATGTAGATTTTTAGGGTGCTTTTTCATTCGAGTTTTTAGCAAATGTTGGATTTCCTCTTTCTTTGTGTTGATTTTGTCTTCGAGGTTGATTATTACTTCAGTAATAGCAAATTCTAAGTTTTCTTCATAATTGCCTTCCTCCTCGTTGATGCCTTCAAATCATTTATTAACTATGAGTAACACTGATTTCTCTAATGAATCCCAGTAAGCTAGAAATATTAGTCTTAGGAATACCTTGATTCTGTTCTGTATCTATAATTCTAAGTCAGAGATATATAAGAAAATAGAAAATAGCTCTAATATCTAAAGAATCTGTCCAAATTTACCCCAATAATTCATGATAATTATCCTTTTTACTACTCTTACAAACACAATTTCCCAGAACAAAACCTACCTTTATCTGCACTCAAGCTGTGTTTTCTATCTGAAAGAATGGCCTATACGTAAAAGTTGTGGTTATAAAGGATTTAAATGATAAATTTTGTGGAATAAGTGGGTAAGATGGGCAGGTTAATGGATAATTATTCTGGATGGTTTACTCTGGATTATGGATAGTGAAAATTAGGAAGGGATTTAATAGAGTGGGTTATATTACTTTTTGATAACTAAGAGAATCAGAGTTTAGAGCGAGGGCCTTGGAGACATGAATTAGGAACAAGAGGAGTTCTAAGTTGTAGCTGAGGACTGAGGTGTAGGATTGGCATTTGGCAGAGAGGGATTTGGGGGCTCTTTTGGTGATTTGAGCGGAGGTGTGTGGAATTGTGGACTGCAGATTGGTGATGTTGGAGAGGGAGCGGCTCTTGACATGCTTCCGGGGGTTATTTATGGATGGATTTTGTTGTGATTTGCCTCTTTTAGATTGACGTTGTTTTGGAGGATCTTTAATAGTGGGGTATGAAGTGATGAATTGATCATTATTTGCGGATTTAAACAAACTATAGGGTTATTTAAGCCTTACTTTAAGTTTTCTTTATTAAATGAGGTGTCCATATTCCCTCTTTTTTATAAATTCAAATTTATAACAATGGAGTGGGGTTTTGGGGTTTTGGGGTTTTGGGGTTTTGGGGTTTTGGGGTTTTGGGG